TAACAATGTTCAAGGTTATAGATTTTTTCTTCTTAGGTTGAGATATGGGGAGTACATAAGTTTGGAGGGATCCAACCAACTCTTCAATCTTAACATTATCTAGATCTTTGCTCTCATCGATATCCTTAACTTTTGGTCTAAATCTTTCAGGTAATGATCTCAGGATTTTTCTGACAATCTTAGACTCATGATTTCTTTCACCTAGGTTAAAACAAGAGCTCATGATCTCATTCAACTTCACATAGAATTCATGGAACGATTCATCGTCATTCATTCTAATTTCTTCAAATCTAGTTGTTTAACATCTGCAGCTTGGAGTTCTTAATAGTTTTGGTTCCCTCGTGTGTGGTTTCTAAAATATCCCTAACTTCTTTTGCAGTTTTACACATCGACACTCTCCTAAATTCTCCAGTAGACAAGGCCATAAAAAGGGCATTAAACCTTTTACTATTCCTGTTGCACTAAGCTAGTTCATCCTTGGTCCAAAGAGAAATGTCCGTTGGAGGTAACTAAACCTGAAACAGTAGAAGAAGGGATGGTCAACCATTTTGTACACCAACCAAAATCTGCTCATCTAGAAATTTAATGAATTCTTTCATTCTAACCTTCCAATATGCATAATTGCTTCCGTAAAAAAAGGAGGCACGGAAAGAAACTGACTCATATAGATTAAATATGGGTCTGAATGAGGCTCTGATACCACTTGAAATAACGAAGTTCAACCCAAGTAGCATATAGAGGGTGGTGAATAGGTGTTTATGTGGAATTTAAATTTACAAATTAATAAATGCAATAAGTCATAGTTATTAGTTAATCTAGATGAATTCACATGCACTACTATCCTATGTTGGATTGTCGCAGATAATAAATTACTAAAAAATAAATAACTCTTGAAAATTGTTGATGGAGAAAACCCGTAACTGGGTCAAAACTCCGGGCCCAAGCTAGTAAAAATTCTCTATAAACGAATCAACTTACAATATTTTCAGACTCGACTAACTCTAGTACTTTCTGAACTTCTAACTGTAATCACCAAAGACCTCCTGGATTGCGTGCTCCTACACCAACTCTCGGCCTTCTAAATTCATTTATGTCTTGTGAATCAATGAGAACTCTTCGTTTTTCGACAACCTAAACTCTGGTCACCCTCCTTGATTTTCAGAACTCTGACAGATATTATGGAAGTACGTATTTTGGCGTTTGGTATATGTGAAGTTGATATTTTTCAATTGATATGATGAAATCAAAAGGAGGTTGAACTATGTAGGAAGTAATCTCTTGTTTCTCTCAATGTTCAACATTGATTTTTTCGAATGATGACATGCATATGTATAGTGTAGAGATTTTAGGTAGTATGGGTCAGATAAAAACTTTGAAAAACACAAATTAGGTTTTCTCGAGATACACTGTCACTTGAGTGATAGCTTAGTGATAGGCGAGCAACGATCTGTCGCTCAAGTGAATTCCAAGCTAGAGGTGGGCGACACAACTTTTGTTTTTACCGCTCGAGCATCAGTTAGGCGATAGGTTAGCGAAATTGCGGCGACTTTTTTCTCCTCATTTCATACTCAAACCTTAAAACTTCTAACGTACCACTTGATACTTTGACTTTAAAAAACTCTTTTACAACAATAGTTTTGTCAAAATATTGCCAACAACTTTAAAACGTAACAAAGTGAATATAAGAGTCTAATCCAATATTTTCCTTTAATGCTTGACTATTGAAGCTCTTTATCTTAAATGATTTATCTTGAATGCTTGACTTTCATCACTTCCTTCAATGTAAGTTTGATCTGTAATGTGAAGGTCTTTATATCAACATTTTTGTCGTTGATTGATCAATATTATATAGGATACTTTGAAAACTTAAAATCAATTATTAGAAACAAAAAAAAAAAAAAAAATTTCTTTGTTATGACCAAAACATTAAGAATAAAGTCAATAATAGGTCAACAGTGTACCCTAAATAATATATATAAAAATACCTGAAAGAACATAGTGAGGACATCAGAAAGGGAGACCTGAACAGAAACGATATGATCAATAGTGGCGACAGCTGGCGACAGATATGCTTCAGCTTCTGAAATAAAGGTTTCTTTTTCCTCTGCATCATACTTAATTTTTGTAAAAACCTCCGCTTAGAAGTAGGAGCAATAGAAGGAATTTCTATTTTACTTTGAAATCGAAAATATGGGACTTGCAATGAATTGGGCTCAAATTAGAAGATGACGAAATAAAGTGTTGGTTATTGGATTTAATCATTACAACAGGAAATTAATTTTCCTTTGAATATTAAATTCAAGTGAATAATGGATCTTAGATCACGTTGATGTCATGGGATTTTGTTTTTAAATCCTCACACATAAGGATGAGATAATAACTTCGAAGGAACTTTTAATAGTCTAGCCAAGTGCTTCATCCCTTAGATATTCTCCCTTGTTCTCTTTAGGTACCTCCCTTATGGGAAATATGAGAGAATGTGGCTAATCCTAAGATTTTGAGAAATGTGCTCACAAAGGGCATATTTATAGTACTCAATTAGGATTTCATAATTGCACAATTTTCCTAGGACTTTATTATAGTAGACCAATGAAGTCACATACCTTTATTAGAGCCAAGAGAGGGACCTAATAGGACTCATAAGACTCAAACTCCAATAGATGTTTCTAATTGGGTCGACTCGTGACCAATTGAGATACATATATTAATATTGGCTTATTCTACCAAAAGGCCAAAATTGCACTCTCGAATCAAGTGATAATTATATAAGCAAATTATGATCCGATAACAAGATCTTCCGATTATTGTTCCAAAAGTCAACCTCTTTTGACCATCAATATGTTGAAACAGGTGAAATGATCGTTTTGCCCTTCAACATGTATTACTCTCTAAGTTCCATTTTCGTAAGGAAAATTCGTTTGTGAACAAATCACAACATAGAGCCTAACGATCTCATGGTCGGACTACTGGGCTCAAGTTCAATTGCCTATACAAAATACTTTAAAGTTAAGATCGTCTCATCATAATGATTAACTATTCCACTATTGTAAAAATATGATCTCTAACTGTTTCGTCCTGATTCCCAAAGCACTGAAATCAATATTCTAATTAAAACTTTACTCATTGGTACCTCAAAAAACTTGAACTACCAGTCAAAGGTATATTATTTGCTCAAGATTTTGGTGACTTGTTTGATAATCGAGTAGAGTCTTATTCTGAGTGGTCACAAATGAGTCGTCTATGCAGTCCCATTCAATGTGCATCAAAAACACATTATTGTTCTTATTCCCAAATGTAACAAATCTCAATAAGAACGACGCAATCTTGTCAACATAAAGTGTCCAACTTTATGTATTGTGAACGATATATTTTGATCACGTTACAAATTGTGTCTCACTAAACTCGAATCATTATAAAATTTGTGACATTCTATATGATCCTGGAACCTTAGATAATTGTTTCAAATAAAATCAAGCGAATAATCGAACGTTAATTCATAATGTCATTTTACAAATTACTACTCGAACGGGCATCAAACTAAGAATATCCACCAAGTCTCAGATAGGTCACGCCTCAATTATGTCACGCCTCAGTTGCAAATCCTAACCATCATCACCTCTAATCACCATCGTCGATGATTTTTTTTATTTTATAATGCTAAGCTAAACTCTAGTCACTAAAACATTGATGAACCTGTTGTTATGAAGTTTTAATATTAAATTCAAAACTTGGACATTTAATATTTGTTTATTTTGTTTGACTGTTTATAGTGTTTAGTGTTTTTCAATTACATAGGCAGCAATTGAATTGATGCGTGATCTTTATTGTATTGAAAAGAAACAATAAAGAATTTAGCGTTATTCTAGTGTCTCATATGGAATATAGATATATTGCCATACCTTGCACGATCTAATTGAATGTCAAATAATTTCATGCATCCTTTATATAGATATAAGGACACATAGGAGGATATATTTAGTATTACTAGAGAGATTACAAAAAAAAAAAGTGCTGCTTTGATCGTCAAGATTAAACAAGTGTTGACATTTATAAAAAGGTTGTTAAAATGGATTAATAAAGGGAAATTTGAAGGCTTAGTACATTTCATTAATCGAGTTTTACAAACACTACTTAATTTCTCATTATTTTGGAATTAGGCATTTAGTTATAAAAACCAGCCAGACCACAATTTATTATTCCAGTTAGTGTTAACTTGAACCGGATTAAGTACTTGGTCTTCAAGAGAAACATATATAGTATTTAACATTATTGCATGGCTACGAAACTGTGCACTTGCGAGACTTTAGCGATTAAGATTAAACCAGATATGGGTATTTAAAGAATGTCGATGCTTTATTGATAAAGAAGCTGGAAATTACGGGGTTGGAGGTGTGAGCATAGATCATACTGGAGAGTTTGTTGCTGCCTTTTCTAAAATAAATCTTCGCTAGGTATGTGGATCCATGCTTAGCAGAATGTTTAGCCATCTTGTAAGGGTTGGAGTTTGCATACTCTCATAATCTTACCATTGTATCTATTAAATCGAAGTGCCTTAATGCAGCTCAATATGTAAACAATTCACCAGTTCGTACCATTGAAGGCGTCCTGCTGATGAAAATTTCAGAGTTCATTAGTTACTTGCTAGTTTAGATGTTAATTTCTTTTGTTCGTAGTGTCACTCAAGCTCTTACAAAACATGCTCTTCGCTGTGACCATGACTCGGAGTGGCTTGGGGAGCCACCAAGTTTCGTTACAGATTTGATTGTTTGTGATAAGTTGGGATAAAATAAGCTTTTACCTTAAAAAAATAATTAAAGCCTAGAAAGTAGAAATAAATTAATTATGGGCAAATTAGCCCAGTGCCCTAAAAAATTAACCAATTTTATTTATACTCTTTTAATTAATTAAATCCTTTAAAAACTTAATTAATACGTTATAAAAGATGATTTCTTCCCGGCTCTCTTATCACTCTAATATTTCTCTACTACTTCATCTTTATCTCAACCGCCACGGCCTTCAACATCACCCGGCTCCTCGGAAGATACCCAAAATTCAGCAACTTCAACGATCTTTTGACCAAAAATGCTCCCTCCACTGACATCAACAAATGGAAAATCATCACCATCCTGGTGGTGTCTAATGACGCACTTAGAGATCTTATGGGGAAGGAGAGGAGGTCCAAAAGGGTGTTCCCAGCAACCATGTGGTGTTGGATTATTATGATACCTTTGAACTTCAGAAATTGAAAAACAAATTTGTCCTTGAGGGTTGAGTCGAGAAAAAGGAAATCCTACCCTTTCCTTTCCAGAATGCCAGATTCCCAAATTTCATTTGTTTTTGGGAAAATGGAAAATCTAGTTCGGTGAGGAGTGAAGTGGATAATTTTCTGGCCATATTCAAGCTTGGGTTTGACTGGGTTGATCCCAAATATCATGGCGATGCCTAATGGTGTATGTAAAGATGGGTTGGTGCAAGAGGCAATGAAGCTTTTTGGGTTAATGCGTGAAAAGAGTACTATTCCGAAAGTGGTTGTTTATGTAATGGAAGGCTTTTTCAAGGCACAGAAGCTTGAAGATGCAGTGAGAATTTTTAAGAAAATGTAGAGTAATTGGATCAGTCCAAATGCATTTATTTATGTGGTTTTGACTTAGGAACGCCCATGAGCTTTGCATTAAGACGTTGGAATAATGTCGCTTTTTATTAAAAGGTGTCCCTTTTCTAGTTGCATTCTAAACAAATTTTGATTATATATTGCTGCATTCTCAGCAGTTGCTTTGTTTTCAGCCGATCATCTTTTGATGGCCAACACATTTCTGATACCATCACTTCTATCCCTTCATACCCCATTCCAGACATGGCAAATATTACATCTGCTTGTGCATATAACATGTTGTCATAATATAACTTTTTGTTGGGGTCGATCATTCCTGAATTAAGGTTGAAAAGCACTTTATGTGAAGAAACCCTATTGGGATCATCTTTGTAAGCAAAATAAAGGTATGCATTGTTTATTTTCTATTTCCTTTTTTTATTGTTTGTTACTTTTTTGAATTTTTATCACTTTTTTCAGTGACAAACATTATTTTTCAATAAAAGTGACATACAATGACACTGAACTTTAAAAAATGACATTGTATAATAAAAAAGTGATATTTTAAGGTTTTGAGCAGTATTTTGTTTCTCTTTTTTTTAATGTGTCACTTTTTCAAAATTTCTATCATATGTTTATTGTATGTTACTTCTTTTTAAAATATATGTCAGTTTTTTAGTGGCAAATATATGTTTGTTGTTTTATAAAACTTTGAGTCACTTTTTTGAATTTTTGTTACATTTTTTTAGTGTTTATCAATTTTTTTATTTTTTGTCAATTTTTAAAAAATTTTCTGTCACTTTTCACTTTTTTTTGAATTTTGTCATTTTTTTAGTGTTCATCATTATTTTTATTTTTTGTCACTTTTTTTTTTTAAAAATTTACTTTGCTTTTTTGAATTCTTATCTTGTCACTTTTTTTTTTTTCATCATTTTCAGTGTTTGTCACTTTCTTGAAATTTCTATAACTTTTTTGAGTGACAAACATCGCTTTTTAATAAAAGTGACATTTGTATGTTATTTTGTCACTTTTTATATTTCTACCACCTTTTTGAGTACCAAACATCATTTTTTTAATAAAAGTCACATTGTATATTATTTTGTCACTTTTTAAAGTTAAGTGTGACTTTTTAATATAAAAAGTGACACTTAAATTTACATAGCACACTTAAATTTATACAGTATTTTTTACTTCAAAAATACTTTTTATATGATTTCTCAAAAGACCTCTAATTTTAAGGGTATTTTTGTAAGTTACCCATTAATTATTTCTTGAAGTCCATAATTAATTTAATTTTAAATTAAGGCCCACACAGTTTGTTAAAATTTAATATGTCTTGAATTATTCAAATATTTTTTTTCCAAAATTTAAAGTTTTCATGAAGTTTTTGCGTTCTTTTAAATAATAGAAAAAGCTAGGAAATTTTTTTCAGTTTTGAAATTGATTCAAGAGTTCATGCTTTCAAAACATCTCGAAAATGTTACTCTATTTCTGTGTTCTATTAAATAATAGAAAAAGCTAGGAAACATTTTTGAGTTCTAAAAACGTATCAAGAGTTTCCTAAGAGTTCATGTTTTCAAAACATTTCGAAAATGTTAATCTAGCATTTTAACGATTTTCGTGAAACCGAGCCATATAGTTATGGAAATAAAAAGTTTGACCATTCACAGAAAAAAGTGATTGTTGAAAATTGGTATTCATTAAAGTTAGTTTGAACAACTTTCAGCGAATGATTTAAGTGGGCAATGGTAGTTCGGACACAAGATGTAGCATATTTATTTTCTCAAAATCAATTTTGGACGAATGAAAAATTAAGATCAAAAGAAGTAACCTGTAATTCTAATAAGTTGGAATTTGGAAAATGGAAAAGTGTCCATCCCACATTGTAAAAACTGAAAAGTGGAAATTACACTAACCATATTTTTAAAGATTGTAATTCAAAAATCAAATATAAAGTTTTCTTATTCATAAATCAGATAATAATTCCAATATAAATATTAATAATATTATAACATCTATCCACCCATCCCCCATCCCGCCCAACCCAATTTCATATCAAACCCTAATTTTTTTTTGTCTTCTCTCTCTATCTCTCTCTCTCTCTCTCTCTCTCTCTCTCTCACACACACACACACACACACACACACACACACACACTCTTGGACGGCGTCGAAGACATGGACCGCGCCAACCGCCGCTGCAACGTTGCACTTCGCGCAAAAGGGGTTATGGCCGACACCAATCGCTGCTAAGTTTCGGGGCTATGTGGGAGACATGAACTCGAATGGCAGCAACGGTTTGCAAAAGATCTCCACATCACCGCTAGGCTCATGGGCTCAGTACCAGTCCACGGCATCCACCCCTACTAGGATGTTACCTGAAATATCTGCATAGTTGTCCATGTGGTTTTGTAGCGAAGCTGTGACGACGTTCTGGTTTGTTGGTGGATTTGGTGATGGTAGTAACTGTTTTGTAGTTGAAGTGGCGAATTTGTGGTGGCGATGGTGGGGCTGTGGCGGTGTTCTAGTTTGGTGGTACATCTAACGGTGGCAGTGGTGATTTTGTAGTTTAAAATGGTGATTTTGTGGTGGCTATGGTGGGGCTGCAGTGACATTTTGGTTTGGTGATGGATTTGGCGGTGGCAATGGTGGTTTGTAGTTGAAAATGGTGATTTATTGGTAATTGTGGAGGTGGTGGTGACAGTGGTGGTTTTGAAATTGAAAATTATAGTTTGTTGGAGGTGATTAAAATAATGGTGAAGTGCTCTCCTGGATGTGATGGTGTTCCGGCTGCTCAATTCGGTATTCACCACCTGGAAAATGAGGTGGGGGCTCTCTCCTCCATTGTACCTTCGACATGAGAATTAGTGTTCAGTTGTGGAGAATATAGAGAGACAATATTGGAATTCAGATAGTTCGAGTTTCAAGAAGCCATACCTTTTCCCACATTGAGGTATTTATAAGCACCCGATTGCATGCCTATGTTCCATGATGTGTTGTACCACATGTCCCATGTGTATCTTCTCAATCTCCCACGTTCTATAGTGTCAACCCACACTCGTCTAGTGGTTGGTTATTCCCGCGTTTGTTGTTGGGTCGTTTTCATCTATCTCAGGGTCATTTATTTGGCTATGTAAAGGTCGACAGCCTCGTAATCGTAGACGGCTTATATGAGCATAGGGTGCCTCGGGGGGTCGACGTCTTGGTCGTCGGCCTCATGATGGTAGACGGCATATGTGAGCGTAGAGCGCCCCGGGGGAGTCCACGTTTTGGGGGGTGCACATTAAGTAGCCGGCCATGGTAGAGAATTATTAACACCGTCCTATATCACTAGCCCCTCACCTCTTGTCGATATTTATCGATGAGATGTAGCCTTTTCTGATGCAGAATGAAGGTTTAGGGTTCAAAGAAACCAAAAAGGGAAAAACAAAAATAACGTAAAAACTTCAACTGCCCGGTAGAAGGCCTTAAACTGGGAATTTGAGGCTGGAATGATCTCAACTGGGAAACCCAACGTAGAATGATATAGAGCTCTGAGAGACGTTTACGAAAACATATTATAATAGACAATTCGAAACCTGTGCAAAAAGTTATGGCCGTTTCTTCGGAATAGCTCTTTTTAGCCAATTTTCGGGTTAACATTGCATGTGTGGCAATCCACCATTGGTCTTCACTATTGGGGGAAATTTTTCCCCAATAAATTCAAAATTTTCAAACTTTTACCACTATTTAACGAGTTGGGGTGGCTCCTATTTACTCCATTTTGTCAAAACTTTCAACTCTTTCTCCTCTACAAGGTAATCTCGTCTCCCCATCTCCATCTTATTTTTATCATGTACAAAACCATTATATCTTCTTTATCCAATGAGAATGATGGTGAGGTAGTGAATGAACCATCAGATGGGTAGGTCGATTTTGGCCTCACCTGTCTACGAATGTCGAGCGTCGGCTAATCGACGATCGACCAACTTGGCCGACCGACGAGCCTACTAGGAAGTCGGTCGGCCCTTTAACCGGCCGACGAGTCTTGGGCTCGTCGACTAGCCTCGTCGATGACCTCACCTATGATGTTGAAACACCCGATGACTCCGTTAACCAATTCCACCTGATTGGGTTTCACTATTTCTAACCGAGTTCTCCCAAAAGATATATTTGTTCGACCAAATCTTTGAATCAAAATTTAGAGATAGAGCTAGACGCCACGGGCGAGGAGGTGATTCTTGAAATTTGAAGAGATTATAGTTTTTACAATTCTCCATCCAAATTAGAGAAGTCACTAAGAAAATACGAGCGTGTGGACCAATACGTTTATAGAGCCCCTAGGCATAAAGAAAGGCTTCTCGAGTTTGACCCAAGTGAGGTCGCTGTATATGAAGATATCATGGATGGTGGTTTTCGATTTCCAATCCATCCCTTCTTCGTTTCATTATTCAGTGAGTTTCACCTCAACCCTAGCAAAATTAATCCTAACGCATGGAGAAAAGCACTGTATTTTCTGTACGTTTGCCTTAGCAAGAAAATTCAACTTTCAATGGAGCTCTTTAGATGTGTTTTCAAGATGCATGAGCTTGTCCAATGCAATGCCTTCGTCTACTTTACTACTAGGGTTTCATTGTGCTTTCTCGAGTTTAGAAATTCCAACAGTGGGTGGAAATCCTGATTCTTCTTCTTTTGGCCCAATAAGGGTCACTTTCCTTTCAATACCCATTGGAGGCATCCTTTAATTCGCCTTTTCAACAATGAAGTCGAACTCACCCGTCTTTTAAAGTTTCAAAATTCAATAACTAATTGAAATTCCACCCCTTGCGCCCGACCTTGGGTAGTTTTGACGATGAGGAACATGTTGCTAGTGGGGATCGGTCGTCCTACCGGTAGGTCCTTTTACTTCTTTGGTATCTTCACATGTGTTAATATCTCTATTTTGTTCTAATTTGTTGGGCTTGATTGTTTACGCACAGACATGGATTTTGACTTGGACGAAGTATTGAAGTCTCTGCCCAAGCTTGGGAACTTGGGAGTGATCATGAGAGTGGTGATGATTCACCTTCCCTTCTTCTGAAGAGGAAGAAGACCAATGACAGGGAATACTACATCATCCTACTGAGGAGGCACCTCAACCTTTAGCCGAGCCCGTCAAAGAGTCTCTTGAGGTTATTGCACCACCCGAGGTTGGAGGGGGCAGTTCGAGTATGTCGTGATCGATCGCGAGGCTTCTCATCTTCCAGATTTTAAATTCCTTCCTTTTCGAGGCTATTTAGAAATGAGGGCAATCAAATCCTTGGTTACTTCTGGACGTTCTCAGGCGATTGCTGGACGAAGTGCCTATGACGTCGAGAGAGTCCTTGCGATCTACACTAAGAGGGTATTTTTTTTAATCGTCTTATTTTGTTTTTGTTTATCTATTCTTTTGCACATGCTTTGTAGTGATTTGATCCCTTGTTTCCTTTTTGGGTTGTAGCTCTTTAGGTCGATCTTTTTGAGTCGAGTCGTAGCCTATCAGCGGAGTTGAAGACCCTTGCAGGAGAGAAAAAGGCCCTTACAGAAGAAAGGAAAAAAAGTATCATCAGTATAAGAAGAAAATCTCTTGTTTTAAGAAGTCTTTCGAAAATTCAGAAGCTCGTGTTCGTGACCAAGAGATAGAGGTAGACAATTTGCTCTTTATTTTAGCTCGGGTTCCCGAGGAAGTTGTGGAGAAATATGAAGCTTCCAAGGAGCATCCTAAAGATGTAGAGGCGTCTGTGGAGCAGTACAAATCATCATCCAATTTTGCTAAAGCCTTCCATTCTTACGGAGGGAAATCGATGGCAGCATCTATCAAGCTAACCAATGAGTGGATATCTACTGAGCATCCAACCATCGATCCCTCAGGCTTTGATAGGTTCCTAGCACAATGCAAGGCGGAGCCCCTCAATCCAAGACGTTTGGCCATACATCACGAGGTGGGAGTGAGGGGGCTTCACATTCGGGTTGACATGACCTTTAGTTCTAGGTCTTTTACTGTTTTGATTATTTATAGTCGAGTTGTTTAGTTCTTTTCCCTGGACCGATATGCGGACAGACACTCTTACTATATATTTTGAGTATGAATGCTTGCTTTTTGAATCCTGGTCCGGGATGTGGATAAACACTCTTATTACATTTTGAGTACAAGTGCTTGCTTTTTGAACATCATTTTAGTATTGCTCCATTCTCCCCCTCTTTGTTTTGCTCACAGCGCTATATGCCGAGTAGTGTTGGGTACTGGGCCCGGTGTTCTTGAGTCTCTACCATTTTTGATTTTGAAAAGCTCACCACTAGCTCCTAGCAATTTTGGGCTAGTCGATTTTTTACTATTTTGCTCACGGCTATGCATTGAGTCATGTAGGACCGTTGAGGACAAGGTCACGTGGTTTTGAGCCTTAACCATTTTCGGTTTTGAAAACTCACCACCAGCCCTCAGTGATTTTGAGCTAGTCAATTTTTTGACTTTTTTGCTCATCGCTATACGTCGAGCTATGTAGGACCGTCGAGGGCAGGGTCGGGTGTTTTTGAGCCTTAACCATTTTTGGTTTTGAAAACTTACCACCAGCCCTCAGTGATTTTGAGCTAGTTAATTTCCTTACTTTTTTGCTCACGGCTATACATCGAGCTATGTAGAAAAGAAAAGAAAAAGAATAAAAATCCTTAAAAATTTACTGATAATACTTCTTGAGATGCTCGGCGTTCCACGGCCTGCCTAGTGGCTTTCCCTTTAAGTCCTTTAGGCTGTAAGCTCCCTTTCCAAGGCTTCGAATTACCTCATACGTTCCTTCATAATTTGACCTGAGCTTGGACGGTGGGTGACCTACTGCTGCTGCTTCCCTCAGCACGAGATCTCCTGACTGAATAGCTCTTGGTTTCATCATGCGGTTGAAATACTCAGCAGCCCTCCAATTATAAGATATCATCCTCATGGCTGCTTTCTCTTTCACACCATCTAGTAGATCGAGTTCAGCATTGATGGTCAAGACATCAAACCGTTTAACTTTCATTCCGCTAATCTCGTTGAGAAATTCTAGCAGGACAACAACCTCCGTCCCGAAGGATAACTTGAAAGGAGTTTCTTCGGTAGCTTCTCGTAGGGTCGTGTGATACGCCCACTGAACATTAGGTAACTCGTCTGCCCAAAGCCCCTTTTCCTTCTCCAATCTTGTCCTGAGGTTCCATAAGATCCCTTGATTTGTTACTTCTTCCTGCCCATTTGCTTGGGGTGTGCTATGGACGTCAGCCTGTGGTCTATATAATAACTTGAGCAAAAAGCCTTAAACCATGGTTGTCAAATTTTCTGCCGTTGTCAGTGAAGAGGACTCTTGCTATGCCAAATCTGCATATTATATTCTTCCACATAAAGCTTTTTAGTTTTGCTGTCGTAATGGTAGCTAAGGGTTCTGCTTCAACCCATTTTGTAAAATAGTCAATTGCTACTAGCAAGAACTTTCTCTGTCCTTTGGCTATAGGTAAGGGCCCTAAAATATCCATCCCCCACTGGAAGAAAAGGCTTGCTCCAAAAATGGCTGACTGTT